TGCACATGCTCAACGTGTGTTTAAAGCATTAGGATGTCGAACGATGGAAGACTATCATAATCTCTACCTAAAAAAACTATGTGGCATTACTAGAAGTCATTTTTGTAGACTTTATGGATATTTGCATAGTGAACTATGGGCTTCACTCAAGGAATAATTACACATCACATGGACTGTCATATGATGCAGCTTTGGAAATAACTAAAGTCAGACTAGAACTTGTTTCAGATCCCAATATGCATTTGATGTTTGAGAAACAAATTAGAGTTGGAATTTCTATGATTTCTCATCGACATGGTAAGGCGAACAACAAATACACGAGTGATTATTAAGACACAACCCACCAAATACTTAAACTATCTAGATGCCAACAATTTATATGGATGGGCCATGATACAATTTTGAATGGGGAGAACCAGGAAAATTGAACACATTTTAAAATGAAAAGACTATCACGAGTATGGAGCTTCGGTGGAATATGATCTAGAGTCTCCACCGGAACTTCACGATAGTCACAACGATTATCCATTTTTACCTGAGAATATAGAGATCAACAAGGTACATAAATTAGTACCCCATTTGAACAAACGCGTTAAATATGTCTGAATGATAAATCTCTTAGACAATGTTTATCTCATGGGATAAGAACATCGCATTATGCGATTCAATCACCATGGCTCAAATCCTGTACTGATCTCAACACCGGTCTTAGAACCAAAGCAAAAACCGATTCAGAGAGAGATTTTTTAAGTTTATGAATGTATCACTGTATAGGAAGACCATGAAGAACATTCGTAAAAGAGTCAATGTCAACCAAGTAACAAAGAAGCATATATTTAAGCTTGTAGCCAAACCTTACTTAAAGTACCTGGAATGTAGTCCGAGATTACTCTAACGTCCAACGGCTGTTTTGCCAGACAAGCTGGGGCCGTAAGACGTCAGAGCTCGTCCCATATCAAAAAGTGGATATCTGCCCGTCCAAAATAGACGCGCTGCTTTGTTGCTTCTGGAGCCGATTGACGGCCTTGGAATTATATAAATCGGGCATTAATTTGTTCATTTTTCATTTATCTCTTCGTTTATGTAAGTTTTATCTACCTGCTGCCCATTATCTTCTCATATTTGGACAGTTTTCACAGTGATCCATCGATTCTTGCATTTTTACTTTCATTTTGAAAGATTGTCATGTGATCAACGAGAAAACGTAAGGCGCAATGGATTTTGGGAGCTGATTTATGCAAATGACCCTGGGTCAATATGAATATATCTAACACCTTGTCCTTTTACGATGCAAAAATACTAAATGTCCGAGTGAGTTCCGATTGTTATCATGGTTGGCTACTAAATGTTGAATACCGAAATTGGCATAAATATTTGCATACTTCAGTCTCGAGGCCGCGAAGTCTCTCGTAACTTGACGGTCATTTGAAAATAAAAGTTAAAATGCCGGAATCGATGGGTCACTGTGAAAACTGTCCAAATATGAGAAAATAATGGATAGCAGGTAGATAAAACTTACATAAATGATGAGATAAATGAAAATTGAACAAACTGATGCTGATGTAACAGTGATACATTCATAAACTTAAAACATCTCTCTCTGTATCGGTTTTTGCTTTGGTCATTTTGGTTCTAAGACCGGTGTTGAGATCAGTACACGATTTGAGCCATGGTGATTGAATCGCATGATGCGATGTTCTTATCCCATGAGATAAACATTATCATTCAGACATATTTAACGCGTTTGTTCAAATGGGGTACTAAGTTAGTCATCAAGCGTGACATCGATTTTGAGGACTATAAAAGATACCTTTTGACACAACAAGAATGTTATAAACCGATGAATGTGTTTTGTAGTCATCTTCATGACATTTACACCGAGGAAATCAACAAAGTATCCCTTTCAGCCAAGGATGACAAACATTACATCCTACCAGATGAGTCAGCACTTTGGCATATGGACTTTACAAAATTGAAAAATACCTTATAGAGAGGTGTGAATAAATAAAAAAAAATGCCTGAATCAAAGAAAACTACTAAATATCATAGAAATTCAATTTGTTTAGAACGACAACCATTTAACAATTTTAAATAGAGGATGAATGCTGACCAAAGACGATTGCAACTTCGCGCTCGTTTGAGAAATAAAATAAACGGTACGAGTATACAACTTAATACTTCTCAACACACCCCTATCGAACAGAGGGTTGGAAAAAGCGGTCAAGACTTTTAAGATACCTCATTTTAGAGGAGTATTTATGAGGGATACCCTACCACCTGAACCACACAGTGAAGAGTGTGGTATTCTAAACCATGATATCCTAATAGGTCCGCGAACACATTAGACGTGTTGGTTTGAGAATAAATTCACAGAGCTGTACTTTGATTCTTGTTGGCTCTCACCACCAAACGGGATGATTGAATACCTAGAACCTAAAATTTACTACAACACAGATGAACTACAGATAAGAGGAACACTGGTATGCGGACAATTTTGTTTGTATGTATCAAAACGCCTAAACAACGTAGTGGTATCGATGCCTTCTTCTTTGAACAAGGAAACGATGTACAAACCATAGAGAGCTTGATCCTCATCGCAAGGATTTGATGGTGTTTGATGATTTGATGATAAGAAACAGAATAAATATGAAGACTAGTATGTCCGAGGTCGACATAATAACGTAGATTGTTCCTATCTATGTCAACGTTACTTTAAACTTCCAAGTGAAACGATCCGGGAAAATAGTAACTTTATATGTCTTTTTCGACAATACGCTAAACATCTGCAACTCATTATCATTGTTTGGATTTAACCTTTGAGGAGTTAAAAACTTTATGCAACCGCTGTTGGTCTGAACATCACGGATTTGTTATCATCGGTCTGATCATGACTTGCCCTAAAAGAAATGGAAAATACAGATCTAAATTTAATTCTATGTTGTTTAAAAATAAAAGAATGGAAAGCATTTCTAACCTTAAAGAATATTTGACTCTGTTTGTGATAATAGTAGTAGTACCGATGATGATAATCCTCCAAGAAGAGTGTGTTAACATAACTTTGTACGTTATAACGACAGGGTAAATCTATGTTTAATATGCGGGGTTGAACAAATCTACAATTATCTTGCCTATAATAATGATATCGACAGTTGGGGAATGGGAAAGACCTACCACCGGCAGAAACATTTACAACAACCGCAATAAAATGCAAAGACAATTAGAAATCAGCAATGCACGTCTTGAAAAACACCGGTACCATGTACCACGGCAACTCAGTCCTCTCTAGAACTCCTAAAGCGAGTAAGAGTTACAAATGGAACAATATCGTCTCACGTATCTTCAACCTAGATAAATATGGTAATGGACTGGTATTTTTATACGGAGTATATATCTCCAAGTTGATATGATACTCCAGAGCTTGCTCACAAGGAAGCTATTAAACCAAGAGTTTAAAGTGGTGGAGTTGAAATCATCCCTTCGTTCATTTTACGGACACCATCACGAGTTGGTTGACCGTTACGGAATATCTGTTTCACAGATGATAGCGGATATGTTCCTAATGTCGTAACTACAATCCCGTCCCCTTTTCCCGAATGTGACCTACCAAATTAGACTTATTACCGGGTTTGCACTAACATGAGCAGCACGACGGGTACCACGTGTGGAGCAGGATCTGCTTACCCTTCCGGAGCACCTGAGATCACCCCCAGTTTTTGGTGGGGTTCGTGTTGCTCAGTCTTTAGTTTTCTATGTTGTGTTTTGTCTTTTGCCTCTCTTTTACCCTCATACTTTGATCAACTCTTAGATCGATTAGAGCTGTGTGCTGCTGCTTATCATGCTAAAAATAGAGGTGTACGCAATGAAATCGTAGCCATCCTCAACGCCATGAAGAGCGGTTTTATCATCAGTGGGGAGTATAAACAGATTCATCGTTAACTCCTTTAAATTAAATATGAATACATTTTATGAAACATAAAATATTAAACAACCACGATACGATTCATTTTGCTTTAAATGCTAGAAAAATGGGAACTGTATCAACTTATTGGTGATTTACAAACGAATCCCACATTAAATTGCAAAAAAAGAAATAGGTTGGTCCAATTCTAGATATCAAGATATTTTTAATGCTAAATTGGAAGTCGAAAAATATGATATTCCTGCAGACGTCGAAGAAGGTATACTCGAGTCTTGACATTGTAGTGATATTCTTATATTTAAAGTCAGAGGGAACAGTAACTGACGATGTTCAGATGTAAATTTATTAAACAAATAAAAAAACAAACAATTAGGGATTGGCAAGAACGAAGAGATATCGGGTATCCAGAGAAGAAGCGTCTCCTGGTATGCATAAACTAACTTCTATCGGAATCCAGACTACATTTAACTCAAAATATCAAGATAGTGACAAGGACGCAATCGGTAAATATTCATTTCAGAAGACCATTGTCGAAGCTTAAGATGTAGGTCAAGAACATTTCTCTTGAGTCGAGACACAGATTAAGTCAATAGAAATATATATAAAACTGTCATGGAAGCGATTTCAATAACACTGTGAACGACTATTCAATCAGACGATGAAAGCTGTGTGTATGCTAATGTGCTTCCTCAAAATATTTCTTAACTATATTTACAAACACTATTTTATTTTTATTTTTCAGAATTATCTTTACATATATAGAGATAATTTAAAAAAAAACAATGAGATCAAAATGTTTGTGCCAAAAGTTGTTTAGAAGGAATCTGTAACTACTAAAGATAAAAAAAAAGTTCGTAGAAAGGAGGATAATAGACAGCAATTATGAAAACGAGGTCAAAATTTAGTAACAAAAACGGTGGACTCCGTTTATTCATTTATGTCCTTGTCGAACTTATGTTGAAACAAAACAAAAAAAAAAATTGTATAATAACTGCAAAGGTGTTTTGTGTACATTTTGTCAAGTGGGTGTTTTCTATTGCAAATTATATTAGTATTACTCTTATGCAGAATTAAAAGCGACATGGCCGAGGCAGAAGAACGGAAAGAAGAGTATTACCTTAGGCTTTTAACCTTTGTCATTCGACCAGCAACAGAAGTTCTCCAACTTTACTTCGAGATAAAAGTTTTAAACTCATTGGATTTTTTTCTTTTCTTAGAAAATCATAAGCATGTCTTATTTCATGAATTAAATCCAACTATTCCATGTTGTGAATGTAACAAACGTCCACTAGCGGCTCCACTGAAAAAATGTCATCTTACTGATACTCAGTTTGATACATTGTTTGAAACAGACAAAGGAAACGAAGTTCAAGACCACAAAAGAAAACAAGGACACCAGATAAAACAATTATGCCTTTGCAGTGTTTCAGCAAAAAGAAAGACTTCTGTGGTCTTAATGGATATCACACTTTTGTCTTCTGTAATTAAGTCTTGTTGCCAACCCTGGTCAATTTCTGGAAACCCTTATTGGATAAAGGATATTAAAAAGACAAGAAATTTCATTGTTCATTCTCCATGTAATAAAATATCTAAGTCCGAATTTGATCAAAAATTTGCGTTAGTAGAACAATCGGTGCTGAATATAGCAAGCGTACTAGGTCCTGTACATCTAAACATGATCAAACGTCAAATTTCTATTTTTAAAAATAGCAATCTTTCGACAATCATCGACTCAGACCTAACACAGAATAACGACAGTATCTATAAGGTAAGTCAATAAAAGGTACTCGATAACATCATATATCGTATTACCCATATTGCTTGGATGATTCCAAACATTTGAACTATATAAAAGCGAACACCGAAACCTTTAATTCTACGTCCTACCTCTCATTTGAAATTAGTTCAGTTTTCAGTTGATGATCAGAACATGGTGAGGGATTTTCTAGCTGTATTGAAGACCCATTGGTTGCCTTTGGCTGTTTTTTCCGTTTCCATTCTCAATTTTATTGTACGATAAAATTATTTAAATTCCTACATCGACTGCTTAATGGTACATGTAACATAATACAATAAAGGGGGAGTTATGATAAAAGCCATCATTTGTATCCCTTGAATACCAAAATATAGCAAACGTATTTAAGTGTTTTTCATAATTATGTTAATTTAATTGATAGATAAAAAACAAATTAATCATTTGATTTAATCTGGAAACTTTTTAAAGTCCAAAAATGTCACTGGTGATGTCACTATGGGGTCTTAAACATGTTAATATAAGCATTTGACCTATAAAAAGGGCTATTTCACGCATATTTTTTATTATCAAAATACGTAATAAAGAGCTTTACCAAAATGATTCTTTACACACATTCACATCTTTGTCAATTTTTGGTGAAAGTTTATATTCATATTTAACTATAAATCGCAGAAAGTACGGGTATGTCGATACTGACATAATTAACAATAAACATTTCTGAAATTCCCTGTTGATAATTTTGATTTGTTTCAGAACTAAGGTTCAAAACCTCTCAGGCAAAGCTTAAGATTTAGGCTATTTTTAATGGTCCATTTGGTAATATAGCCTTTAAGGCAGCTGCTGTATATATATATTATCCTTTGCTTTCAAAATGTTAAGGATAAAAAGCACCTCGTAGGCATGACAATTATAAAGTGTCTTTTGGAAGTTGATGCTGTCTTGAACAAAATTTAAGAAATTTGAAGCCCAAATGCCAATATAAGACAAAATCAAAAATATATACACTGATGTCTTATAAATATCTGAAGGATGTTTGTGGTAGATTTATAAAACTCTCTGATTGTCGAATTCAATGGGTCAAAACGTGGCTTTATCATATTCTTTCGTTTTATCAAGATTTCATTTTTAAGATTTTTTTTATCTTTTTGATATCCCAGAACCAAAGAAAAAAATGTATTTCAATTTCTTGAACTGTTGATGAGTTTTGATAGTGATTAGTTTTGATGATAATAAGTTTTGCATACATATTCACGTGGTTGGCAGTATTAAAAAACAAAAATTAATATTTTTTTTCAAACATAAAATAAGAACTTTCTTAATGATGGAAAAATACAAGATTGTCATAGTTGTTTTGACTACAAGAAGTTGACAGATTGAAATGCAAATACAATTATATATATTGAAAACCCCATATGAATCCTCCTGACTAACCAATTAAACATTTAATGTACACATGTGTAACTTACTTTTCTATTACCTTCCTTAGACGTATCTAGCCTTACGTTTTAGAATTTATAGTGTTTAATGATGTTTAACTTTGTATTTGATTCGCCCTTCCAATGTTTTCATTTGAGCACCACTGATGAGTTTTGTGTAGACGAAACGCGCTTTTGGCATAACAAATTTAATGTTTGGTATATTTGGTGTGTTTTTAAAAAAATATATTGTTTTATGTACTAGATTGATAGAACCTAAACGTATATCACTACAACCCAGTAAAAGTCTGAAATAGCCTATATCTGTACTCGACTGTACTGATTTTTTCTCGATCAGTCTGAATTGGTCTGAATTTTACTCGATATTACTTGACCCCAATCTTAACCATACTCAACTGTACTGATTTGTACTTGACCCTTATCTTTGCTATTGAAAATATAACTATTACTCGACCAGTCTGAAACCATCTTAACCCATTCTCGACCTGTACTCGACCAATACTTGACCAGTTCTCGGCCAATTTTTTTTCACTCTGAACCATACTCGACCAAAGGTCTGAACAATACTCGACCAGTCTGAACAATACTTGACCAAATAGCCTCTACTTTTTTTAATTTTAACTGTTTAAATAACTTTCTTTTTAACTGACATGACAACAGCCATAATAAAATAAAGATATATAAAAACAGATTCTTACATCCTTAAATGGTTATCAGATTTATCAAATCGAGGTAGTTAAATTAAATTTTAAAGTCTGAGTCTTGTTAGAAAAAAGATTTTCTTTTACCTTAAAACCACACCTATACTGAGGGTATTAAAACCTTATTGAGGTGCATCTTGTTTTGCATGTGTTTATTGTTTAAACAAAACTTAATTTTCCTAAATTCCTAAATAAAAACTACATAGGTTTCATGGTTACATACAATAGTTATATAACTATATTTTAAATGAGGTAACAACAGCCAACAAACTCACTGAAATTGTTTAACCTTATATCAGAAATACATCTATTCTTATTATAATTTGGGATATATATTTATATATATTTATATAAAAAAGAGATGAAAAATTAAAGAAATTAATAAAATTGAATATAAAGTAATACCTCCTGCATGGGGCACACTTATTTAAAAGATAACACTTGGTCAGAGAGTAATAAATTTTAAATAACATCCATTGAGAATTACGAATATATAACAGAAAGTCACAGGACAAAAAGTCACAGACAAAAAGTCACAGGACAAAAAATCAATTCAGTTTTCAAATTACTTTTCTTTGTATAAGAAAACATTTATTTGAAAAAAAACCTATTATATATAGAGCAACTTTGTAATAAAAACCTATTTAAAAAATATCATTAATGATCAAATAATTGTTAAGAAAACAAAATGTCAAAGTGGCTTGGTACTTAAACAGCTTCATGGTGCCAAGAAATATATCATTCGCATGATTAAAATTTAATAAATTTTCATATATCAAGGCTAAAGAACAATTTCCTAAACTGTAAAATAAATATATGTAATAAAAAAAGAAAATATTTCAAGATCTTTCTCTTATATATATAAGTACGTCTGAAGCAGTGACAACTCAACGACAGATTTTATCCATCGGATCACCAGTGATGGTGATACAAGTCTGAAAACACATTCTGTATACATAATTCGGCTGTTATTTAATCGAATTATATATATATATATACAAGTCTAAATTGAAAACAACGTTCAAACCTATGATTGCTTTGGATAAAAACCGCAATTTTTATACGTGTGCATGCAAAACAAATTTCTTGTTAGAGGGGTCTAAATACAGCACAAACAACATTTTCCAAAAGACCAAAAAGGTGAAAAAGTATATTTTAACAAAACGCATTTGACTAACAGGTCGAACAACAAATGTTCTTAAACCCTGCTGACTGCCATTGGCAATTGCCAAATAAACGGATCACCGATGTAATAAATGGATCTTCGTTTTAATTTAATACTAAACAGAAAACAATAAACTTGCGGAAAAGATGGTATACCGCAAACAAAAGGTGCAAAGGTTTTTGTACACCATATCCGGATTTCGACAATTACTGTCTCTTCAGTGATGTTAGGAATCGAAACGGTATTTGGAAAGCCATTAAAATTTTCCTCAATTAAGATAGACTCTTGAATTTTGAGGAGTCAAAATAGGATGAATGGATCATAAAAACCCGAAGGCTAATATAATACAAGCCCAAACGAAAAAATATAAACAAGTCTAAAGTGAAAACAACGTTCAAACCTATGATTGCGTTGGATAAAAACCGCAATTTTTATACGTGTGCATGCAAAACAAATTTCTTGTTAGAGGGGTCTAAATACAGCACAAACAACATTTTCCAAAAGACCAAAAAGGTGAAAAAGTATATTTTAACAAAACGCATTTGACTAACAGGTCGAACAACAAATGTTCTTAAACCCTGCTGACTGCCATTGGCGATTGCCAAATAAACGGATCACCGATGTAATAAAAGGATCTTCGTTTTAATTTAATACTAAACAGAAAACAGTAAACTTGCGGAAAAGATGGTATACCGCAAACAAAAGGTGCAAAGGTTTTTGTACACCATATCCGGATTTCGACAATTAATGTCTCTTCAGTGATGTTATGAATCGAAACGGTATTTGGAAAGCCATTAAAATTTTCCTCAATTTAGGATAGACTCTTGAATTTTGAGGAGTCAAAATAGGATGAACGGATCATATAAACCCGAAGGCAAATATAATACAAGCCCAAACGAAAAAATATAAACAAGTCTAAATTGAAAACAACGTTCAAACCTATGATTGCGTTGGATAAAAACCGCAATTTTTATACGTGTGCATGCAAAACAAATTTCTTGTTAGAGGGGTCTAAATACAGCACAAACAACATTTTCCAAAAGACCAAAAAGGTGAAAAAGTATATTTTAACAAAACGCATTTGACTAACAGGTCGAACAACAAATATTCTTAAACCCTGCTGACTGCCATTGGCGATTGCCAAATAAACGGATCACCGATGTAATAAATGGATCTTCGTTTTAATTTAATACTAAACAGAAAACAATAAACTTGCGGAAAAGATGGTATACCGCAAACAAAAGGTGCAAAGGTTTTTGTACACCATATCCGGATTTCGACAATTAATGTCTCTTCAGTAATGTTAGGAATCGAAACGGTATTTGGAAAGCCATTAAAATTTTCCTCAATTTAGGATAGACTCTTGAATTTTGAGGAGTCAAAATAAGATGAACGGATCATATAAACCCGAAGGCAAATATAATACAAGCCCAAACGAAAAAATATGAACAAGTCTAAATTGAAAACAACGTTCAAACCTATGATTGCGTTGGATAAAAACCGCAATTTTTATACGTGTGCATGCAAAACAAATTTCTTGTTAGAGGGGTTTAAATACAGCACAAACAACATTTTCCAAAAGACCAAAAAGGTGATAAAGTATATTTTAACAAAACGCATTTGACTAACAGGTCGAACAACAAATGTTCTTAAACCCTGCTGACTGCCATTGGCGATTGTCAAATAAACGGATCACCGATGTAATAAATG